CTGAAAGGTAGATACCCTTGGGCTCAGACGAGTCATATAGACCGTTCCCTTCGACTCGATCACCAGTATCTATAACGAGTAGATCTTGTCCTTGTGCTTCCGCCTTTTCCCGCATGCGTGTCGTAAACGATACATAGTCTCCCCAGTCTGCGGAGTAGGACGGTCTGCGATGATTAGTACAACTCAAAGCTTAGCAGGGTTCAAAGCCTACTCCTGCAGATGACCAGCCAGCCAGCCATGAGTATCAGTAGTATGGAGGAAATTTAGTTGCCCGAAATCAAGAGTCCGTAGCGGAGCGGAGATGGGGTCGGGTGCGGAGGGTTGAGCGGCGAGTGCCGACGGAAGTAGCCAGAGCAAGGACAACATCAGTACCAACAATACACACTTGGAAGAGTGTATAAAAGCATGTATTAACTGCAAGGGAAAATCTTTGAAGAACTTAGAAAATTTCGGAAGGAAGTGTGTGGTGTGTATGTTGTAGTTATAAAACTAAAAGTCGATAGGTTTGAGAACCTTGGAAGATATGTTGTGTAAACAACCTTGGAAGCCCTGGAGGTTCGGATGCCTTAGGGTGAGCTCTCCAATTCTGGTATGGTTACGGTTACAGTACCGGTGAGCTCTGATATCACGTGTTGCCCAACATCTTCGGATTTGCATCTCAGAGATTATACGGCGATAAGTTTTCCCTGGGCATTCACTTTGATCTACTCTCCCGTTCTTCTATTCAATTGCTTTTGCGGTCCGATCCGGTCTGCGATCTTTAGTTGAAGACTTTTTCTTTTTTTTTTTGTTTTCATCTTCTCAATTCCCCCCATATTTCCGCAATGTCAGCTCCCCGACTTTTCCGCCCAACAGCTCGTCTGTTTTCCTCGCGCCTTGCTTCCACTGCTCTGCGCTCGAATCTCCGTCAGACCGCCTGTGCTCCTTCAATTCTGCGCCGCGGATATGCTACCGAGAATGGCACCAAGCAGGTTACCGTTCGTGATGCCTTGAACGAGGCCTTGGCGGAGGAGTTGGAACTCAACCAGAAGACCTTCGTCCTTGGTGAGGAAGTCGCACAGTACAACGGAGCGTGAGTTATCCTTGAGTTCTAGTGGAAGCGAAACAGACTCTGACTTTTCGCCTGTATAGATACAAGGTGACCAAGGGTCTGCTCGACCGCTTCGGCCCCAAGCGGGTTATCGATACCCCCATCACAGAGGCCGGCTTCTGTGGTATCGCCGTTGGTGCTGCTCTCGCTGGTCTGCACCCCATTGTGAGTATTTACCGGGAATGACGGTTGATTTAGGATCGCATGCTAATCGTTCATGATCTAGTGCGAGTTCATGACCTTCAACTTCGCCATGCAGGCCATCGATCAGATTATCAACTCCGCCGCTAAGACTCACTACATGTCCGGTGGTATCCAGCCTTGCAACATCACTTTCCGCGGTCCCAACGGTTTCGCTTCCGGTGTCGCCGCCCAGCACTCCCAGGACTACTCCGCCTGGTACGGCAGCATTCCCGGATTGAAGGTTGTCTCCCCTTGGAGCTCCGAGGATGCCAAGGGTCTGCTCAAGGCTGCTATCCGTGACCCCAACCCCGTTGTTGTTCTCGAGAACGAGTAAGAATCCATGAGCCCAATTTTCTGGATTCCGCGTGAACTAACCAATCCCAGGCTCTTGTACGGCCAGGCTTTCCCCATGAGCGAGGCTGCCCAGAAGAACGACTTCGTCCTGCCCATCGGTAAGGCCAAGATTGAGCGCCCCGGAAAGGACCTTACCATCGTCTCTGTGTCTCGCTGCGTCGGTCAGTCCTTGACCGCCGCCGCCGAGCTCAAGCAAAAGTACGGTGTTGACGCTGAGGTTATCAACCTGCGCTCCATTAAGCCCCTCGATGTTGAGACCATCGTTGCCTCCCTCAAGAAGACTGGCCGCATCATGGTCGTTGAGTCTGGCTACCCCATGTTCGGTCTTTCTTCCGAGATCCTGGCTCTCTCCATGGAGTATGGCTTCGACTACCTGACCGCTCCCGCTGTCCGTGTCACCGGTGCTGAGGTTCCTACTCCTTACGCCGCTGGCCTTGAGGCCATGGCCTTCCCCCAGGAGGACACTATTGTCAGCCAGGCTGCCAAGCTTCTGCGCCTGTAAGCCAATAAACGAGGGCGAGTGAGGAGCTCGCAATAATATAGCCATGTGCCTAGTACCCTTTCATCTGTTCCACCTTTTGTCGTTGTTTTATTCTGCTTTTTGTTATCCAACCGTTTTAGACAGTCTTTGGAAAGCATGTACCATTACACCGAGATCAGGACCAACGTAAATGTGCTTAAACGGCTTAGATGGAAATTCATTGCTGCTCGGTAATTAAAACAAAGGGTAATCCATAACCCTTCAACGCCATTAGATATTCATTTCGCAAGTCATCTCCGGCATCACGACATCAGACCTTTTGGGCAACACACCCAGCGAAACAGTCCGTTGGCCGGCGAGGATCATAATATCCTTCTTGGTCATATTCGTCGGTTTCACTTTCCGCATCATCATCTTCACTCTTTTGGGGCTTGCCCACATTTGAGGTATCATCTTCTCGAGGTTTCGGGATATCGTCTTCATCGTCGTCTCCTAGAACGTTCTTCTTCTTGACTAGGGGTGTGGGGGCCGCTGTTCCCTTGATAGTAGCGAATGAGCTTTTGAAACCTCCCTTCTTGAAACCCGCACTTCCTCCACTTGGTGCCACATTGTTGACAGGGGTCTCAATGACTTTCAGACCGGCCTGCGCATCGGCTTTACGTTCTGCGCGGCGGTTCTTTTCGACGGCATTTGGATCACGTGTTAGCTGTTTGAGATCTTGCAAACGCTTTCTGTGCTGGTGGTCGTATGAGCCGATATGCGCTTCGTATTCTGGGTGGCGCGAGTAGGATTTATTGCACAGACTGCAAGTGAAGGAGCTGAGCGCAGACCGCGCTGACTCGGTCTATAAGGGTTAGCTTGGCGATAGCCGATATGGCAAACATGGGTGATTAATTACCCTGGGAGCGGGATTTGTGAAACCACGCTAGATTTGTTAGCTGAATTGTCAGATTTGGACGAAAAAAGAAGAGCATACCGGTGCCATTGTTCTTGAACTAGAGTATCCGTGAAGTTCGGAGGGAGAGCGTTTAGTACGGCTATGCATTGCGACCATCTGCGTATTTATAACTGGCGGGTCCAACGCGCGCAGCTGCCAGTGAAATCAGGCATACATAGGTTCATTAGATCTGTTATTAAAATTTGTCTAAGCCTCTAGGCTCGTGCACTCTTTTTAATCATTAACTCGCAATATGGATTCTATTTCAGGTATATGAGTAAGATGTGCACCTATACATCCAACCTTTTATAGCAAATCAAGCAAGTCAAACTACTATATGTTGTAGTCACCTGACCATGGACTCTGGGCAATCGTCATTACCCGCAGAGGAAGCAGCCTATCACAGCTCTCCTATTTTCGCGACTCGGCGATCTTCAAACTCCAACGTTTCCCTGCTTTTTCCTACTTTATCTATACAATATGGATGCATGATCGACGAGCTACTTTCTTACGAATTTCATTGGCGTCCTTTTTCTCCAGCTCCCGAAACCCCAAAACCCTGAAAACCGTACAATGTCGTCCCACGAGCTCTCTAAACCAGAGGACATCGACACCAAGTCTATCATCTCCCTACAAGAATTAGACCCATCACCTGTCCATGATTCTCTGGATATTGAAAGCGGCGAATACTTCCCTAGTGCTGCCTCTCCTACTCAACATGGAGTTGGAATTTCAATCCCCAAGCTAGGGCTTAGTGGTCATCGCTGGGATTCATGGCGTACGTCAAGCGACAAAAGCAAGTTTATACATCTATATTCTAACCACGACGATTATTTAGTAACTGGTATTCAAAAATACTCAACCTACCCACCTACGGCTTTCTTCATCCTACATCTCGCCAACACCTCTCTTATCCCGCTCGTGACTCGCTCCGTGCCCGCGAGCGAATCCTACCTTTTGCTCACACGACCAATATATCAAGCCCCCGGGCTAGAGCATCTTGTCTTGACAATTCCTATAATTGCGCATATTGCCTCGGGAATTGCTCTCCGCAACATTCGTGCTAGGCGTAGAGCCCGTCTGTACGGCGCCGAGAGTCGCGCACAGCGAAACACGTTATATTTCTGGCCGCGGATGTCTTTACAGGCACGTACTGGATACTTTGTCGCGCCGCTAATTGGGTTCCATGTATGGGTCAACCGTGCCACGCCATTGATCGTCGAAGGAGGAAGCTCTGGCGTAGGGCTTGGATATATTGCTCATGGCTTTGCTCGGAGTCCTGTTTTCTGGAATGTCTTCTATTTATTTTTTGTGACTGCCAGTGTATGGCACTTCGTTGGTGGCTGGGCTACCTGGATGGGCTGGAGAGTGACCACAGCACGCAAGGAGCGTAGCCAAAAAGGCTCGTTGGATAGTTATCTTGGACTTACAGAAACAAAGTCGAAGAGACAACGCAAGATTTGGTGGGTTGTCAATGGAGTCGCCGCTGCTGGCGCGGCTCTCTGGCTTGTAGGTGCCCTCGGCGTTGTTGGACGTGCCGGCGAAGGCGCGGGTTGGGAGGCCAGGGGGTGGAATGAGATGTATAGTCACATCCCGATCATTGGGGAGTGGCTGTGATAGCTTTGTATGATTGTACATAATATCCACATAGTTAGACTTAATCCTAATGTATAAAAAGAGTCTGAAGACATGGAAAATATTCTTTCTACCATACAAATATCAATGCTCGTTCTCCGATATGTCATCGCAATAATTGCCTGTGACCTACTAGGTACAAATAGTGCTGCTTGGTCTCTTATTGTGAGAGTTGGTTCTTATACAGCCCTACATGTACTTTTATAGTTGACATAAATTACAAAACAGGTATTGTTGTGTACTACAGGTTGGTCCGTGCGTAGAATCTTTTCTCCGTCGCATTCAACGTCTCTTGCGACATGCTGTAAAAGGCTTCGCTCATGAACCCCTCGTTGATTTTTGGATCAGCAACGAAATGCGCTAAGCGAAGACTGATTCCTACCCTTATTCTCGCCCAATTCCCCCGCTCGACCCCCGCCTCGATCCGATCTCGAATCTTTTCCACTTCTAGAGTCATGGAGGAACCTCAGATCCAGCTGGTGGAATACCAGGGAAACAATTATCATGTTGTCAAGGAAGGTTTGGCGAAGATTTTGAACCCGCCTGCCCAAGAGGCCGCCTCCAAGGGAACGAAGAAAGATCTCAAAGCCGACGACCAAATGCAATCCGTCTTCTACAACCCAATTCAGCAATTCAATCGCGACCTCAGTGTGCTAGCCATTCGCGCTCATGGAGAACATATCATCGACCTAAAGAAGAAGCAAAAAGCGGCCCAGAAGCTGAAAAAACAGGCAGGAAATGGGGAAAAGAAACGGAAGCGTGAAGACGACCAGACCGAGAACCCGAGGCCCGCACCAAATGCAGAACACAAGGAAAGCACAGAGACAAACCACCAGCCACTCTCCGCTCCTCTGGCTGAACAAGAACTGCAGTCAGCAGCCCAACCAGAGCAACCCGCAGCTTCCTTCACTGTTCTTGATGCTCTGTCTGCAACTGGGCTGCGTGCTCTTCGCTATGCCTCGGAGCTTCCATTTGTTACAAAGGTCGTGGCTAATGACCTGTCAGAGTCAGCAATCAAGTCCATGAAGAAAAACATCGAGTACAACAACCTTAAGACGATTCAACCCAATCTGGCCGATGCTCGAGTTTACATGTATGGACTTGACCACGCGAGCAAGTTCGACGTCATTGATTTGGATCCATACGGCACAGCATCTCCGTTCCTGGATGCCGCAGTGCAAGCAGCCAAAGATGGTGGCCTTTTGTGTGTTACTTGCACTGATGCCGGTGTCTGGGCCTCGACCGGCTATTCGGAAAAAGCATTCTCTCTGTACGGTGGTGTCCCAGTCAAAGGCCTCCACTCCCACGAAGGTGGTCTGCGATTGATCTTGAATGCCATTGCCATGTCTGCAGCTAAGTATGGAGTGGCCATCGAGCCATTATTGTCTCTGTCTATCGACTTTTACGCTCGCGTGTTTGTTCGGGTCTACCGATCTCCCGCCCAGGTCAAATTTACCGCGGGCAACACGATGCTCGTATACAATTGCGATACCGGCTGTGGCGCATGGTCAACACAAACCCTTGTGTCTACCAAAGCCAAATTGGACCGCAAGGGAAACCCTATATACCACCACGGCCTAGCCAAAGGGCCCACAGCCGGACCGCACTGCGAGCATTGCGGCACAAAAACACATATTGCAGGACCTATGTGGGGCGGCCGGCTACACAATCCTGACTTTATCCAGAAAATCTTGGACATGCTTCCTGGAGCTGATCCTGAAACATACCAGACCTGTGCTCGGATTGAGGGAATGTTGACCACTGCCCTTGAAGAGGACCTGGACCTAACACCATCTTCATCCGAGCCATCCACTCCCAAACAACCCGTGCCAAGCACCAAGAACCAGCATGACCCTGCCTACCCTGCCATCATTCCTCGAATGGACGTTGCCGCTCGGGAAAAATACCCATTCTACTTCTCACTCAGTGCTCTCGCAAAGGTTATCCACGCAACCACCATTCCAATCGACGAGTTCCGTGGTGCTCTCAGCCATCTCGGATATCGCTCCACTCGTAGCCACACCAAGCCAAACTCAATCCGCACCGATGCGCCCTGGGAGGTGATTTGGGAGATCATGCGCGAGTGGGTCCGTCAGGAATCGCCTATCAAGGAGGGTTCCTTGAAGCCCGAAACTGCCGGTGCTACTATTATGGGTAAGAGCCGTGAAAACCTGCGTAAATTGGGCGACGAAGATCAATGGTTATCGATCCTCAAGAAAGACTTGATGTCTGCCGTCGAGGCTGGCAGAGATGTTAGTGACTTGGTCACTAAGGTTGAAGCAGCTCTCTACCGGTCCGGATCGCGAAACTCCTGGAAAAGTGCTCCTGCCGCTTCTGCAGAGACTCGCCCCGGTGCCGATGCCCAGCCTGTACCGGAAAAGGAAAAAGGAAAGGCACCATCACAGCTTTTCACGCGGCCTCACCCTAGTACACTTGAGGTGGTCTTTGATGAGGCTCTAGGCCGTGAGGTGTCTGCTACGCATACCAAGAAACGACTGGTGCGGTACCAGCTCAATCCTCGTGCTAACTGGGGTCCTCTCAACCGTGCGGGGCGATAATGATGTTCAAATATCTTTGTTCATATATAGAAAAGTCTCTGTACGTTTTATACTTTTTTTGTCAAACCATACCTAATTGTACGTTGTAAAGTGATAAGCCCGGCATTTCTACTCCGTGTTATGATTGTCATTCGTATTTATATATATATATAACCATGAGTCATCACTGAAATGGTTGAAATAGGCATTCCCAATATCTTCTTTATTGTTGGGGCCACCAAGTGCTTAGTCACATGCCACCTCGTATTTATATTTATCGGATGTTGCCTGACGTCCTCTTGAAACCCTTGAGCAGATACTACAACATACATCAAAATGGCTGTTGGCGGTTGTTTTTGCGGCAAGGTTCGAATTGAGTATACTGGCCAGCCTCTAGCCTCGGTTAGTACAACCTATAAGATTCCATTTTTGTTATAACCTAGCCTAACATTCCTCTCCATTAGGCACTGTGCCACTGTATCGACTGTCGGAAGCTTACAGGGGCACCTTATAGCTACAATTTCATCGTCAAAAGTGCAGATCTTAATATCTCCGGAAGTCCAAAGGAAGTGCCAAAGACATCGGATAGCGGAAATGCCATTAAGAATTACTTCTGTCCTAACTGTGGTCTGTATTATACTAAATTTTGGGGAAGATAAGCAACTGACGAAAGTGATAGGCTCCCCGCTATTTGGACGGAAGATCGACCCCAATGGAGATTGTGACAAGACTATAGTCATCCGGGCGGGAATATTTGATGACAAGGGGATTTTGAATGAACGGACGCCTGTGGTGGAGATATACACCAAGCAACGATTGAACTGGGTAAGTCCCATTGAGGGGGCTGATCAATTTACTGGCATGTTGCCGCTGCCATAGCAGTTTGGTGTTTTAATATTTAATATGTAAATTGTTAGAGGTTTCATCTTTGTGTAAAATATAGGCACTATTCTAGGAAATGCAAGAGGATGGAAGTATAACTGATATCGAAAAGAACTGTATTAAAATGCAAACTGAAACTCATATACATGCACATAAAACTCCAAGGCTTTGAGACATATCACATAATGACTCATGAAAAAAAAAAGGTCTATCAAAAACACAACATTATAGGGAGGATATCAACAAGAATAGATTATTTCGCAACGGTTTCGTTGCCCTCTTCGTACTTCTCCCAGTTCGCCAAGATAGAGGCAATGCGGGGCGAGTTGGTGAGTCTGTAGACATCTTCGAAGTATTCCTTGGTGATTTCGAAGGGACGGGCAGTGACGTTGGGGATGTACTTGCCAACCAACTTGCTGGGGTCGATGGTGGTCTTGTTGATCTTCTTCAGCAAGAAGGAACGGAAGGGCTTCACACCAGAGCGCAGGAAGGTACTGTGGAAGGGCACATCGATACCCTTGAGGGGAATGGTGGCGAAACCACGCTCCAGGGCGATGGGACGAGGCTTGGCCTCGGTTTGCTTGACACATTCCTGGATGATGCTGACCAAGTGCTCCTTGACGTCCTCCAAAGACATGCTCTCCATAAGAGCGGGAATATCAATGTTCTGCGCCTTCAAGAAGTTCAGCAGGTTGGTGAGGCAGTCAAGAGCACGGAGGTCACCAGCGGCGACGTATTGCATGTTGGCAACGTTGTAGTTGACAATCTCCAGCAGCCAGCCAGTGGTCTCGGAAATGTTCTCAACAACGTACTGGAGTGCCTGCTCGTTGAAAGTCTTGGAGATACGGCTGGGGTTGACAGCGCACATGGAGTAGTTAGAGCGACCCTGTGCATCACGCTCGACGGCGACTTGCATGGTAAGACCACGGTAAAACACGACAGACACCAAGCTCTCAATGGGCATGACATCAGCCAGAGCGGCCAAAGCCGAGTATTCACCAAGTGAGTGACCGGCGAAGCTGCTGTCGCGCTGCACCAATCCCTTGGTGCGCATGTCCTCAAAGCTGGCCTTCTCCATCAGAGTCAAGGCTGGCTGAGTGAACTGGGTGGCAGAGAGAAGACCGGTGGGAGAGCGGTAGGTGTACGAGGCAGTGTTCTCATCGACCTCCTTGAAGATCTTCTCAGACTTGATGGACCCGTCGGCGTTCACAGACTCGAAAGTCATGGCCATGTAGTTCTCCCGGATGGCCTTACCCCGGGGACCACCGAAGTAGACAGTCAGCTCCTTGGGGTTGTTCTTGACGATGTCAATAATGGAAAGACCGTAGTTCTCCATGAAGTGGCGATCAGCCCGGTCCCAGACCTCCTGGGCCACTGGGCTAGAAGCATACAGCTCCATACCCATTCCCTGCTCCTGAGAGCCCTGGCCAGTGAAGACGTAGGAAGTGACTGGTTGCTCAACCTCGGCCTCACCCTGCAGAACCTTCTCCTCTGTCTCCTTGTTGCTGGCTTCAACCTTGATGATCTTGCGACCAGCGATCATGCCGACATGCTGGAGCTTGACAGTGATCATGTCGTTGGGCAGGACCATGCCGACAAGCGAAACTTGGAAGCCACGAACACGGCCGATGTTGTTCTCGGCGGCCCAGGTCTCGACAAGGCTGCGAACAGCGGCACTGCTGTACATGCCATGGGTGATGGTTCCGGGCAAGTTCGCATAGCTGGAGAAGACGCGCGACACGTGGATGGGGTTGTAGTCACCAGACACACGGGCATAGGTCTCGTTGGAGGCGGGGGCACGCAGTTCCAGAGCGGTCTTGCCACTGAGTGGGATGGGGTTCTCGAAGTAGACCGGCTGCTCAATGGAAGTTCCGTTACGCTGGAGGTAGTCAACCACAGGGTTACCGTGTGAGTCGCCTGCTTCGTATTCGACAGATGCCACTTGGATGACCTCCTTGGTGGGAAGCTCGAGAAGAACCTGTCCAACTGTCTGAACGTTGCTGAAGACAGTGGTGTTCTTGAAACGGATCAAACTCTGCAAGCGGAAGGTCAGGGTCTGACCGAGAAGCTCAATGTCAGAGTCGTCCATGCGGAACCATTCCTTGGAGCGGAGGATGGCGACGTCCCGGCTGGTTGCGAGGTGAACCTGGATAGGGACCTCATCCTTGCGCTGGAAGGTGTTCTCATAGTCGGTGTAAGCACCCCGGTACAGGAACTGACTAGTGACATGCATGATGGCTTTGTTGTCTCGCTTGATGGTGCCGCAGACCTCGACCATCTTACCAGAATCCTGGTTGATGACAGAGTTAATTTGGGCAGTGGTGTCCAGAACATCGCCAACCTTTAGGGGCTGAGCACCGGGCACCATCTTGAATCCGTTGGACAAGTGGACAAGCTTCAGCAAATCTCCGTCAATGGTGCGAGGGAAGATAGGCTTGGTGATTGCCTGCCAGCCTGCCACGATGGCAAAGTCCATAGGGGCAAAGACCTCCTTGCCAGGACGGTCAACGAAAGCCTCACCGGTGTTGCCAACTGCGTGAACGAAGTCGGCAACATCCTGGGCAGTGATGGTCTTCTGGCCACCACTGAATGTAGCAGTGGTGGGGGTGTCGAAGGGCACGTCCTTGTTGCCGAACCAGACCCGGTAGTAAAACTCCTTGATGCGATCGTTGCGGTCACCCATGACCTCACGAATAGGAGCGTATCCAGTCTCGGGGTGATAAGTGAACAAGAAGTTCAGAGGGACAACGCCATTCTCGGCGGTGCGGCCCTCAAACAGGGTGAGACTGACCTGTCCCTGCTCGTTGATCTTGGCCTCGACGGTCTTGACCAACTTGCCAGACTGGTACGGCTCTCGCACACTGATGACAGTCTTGGCAGGATCATTGGGGTTGGTTACTTCAACGTACATGCCTGCGGTGGGAGCGACAATCCGCTTCATGGGGTTGGATTGGAAGCGGTGGCCCTGAACGAAAACATCGGCCAAGAACAGAGCATGTCTCCAGGAGTAGACGTCGCCGGCAAGAAGGCTGAGCCAGCGGTCCAAGTCTGGCAGGGCTGCAGTGGAAGACAAGCGGAAGCTGGTCTTGCTTGGCTCCTCCGAAATAACTAAACCGTCAAATTCAGATTCGGTGGTGTTCAGAAGCTGCCCACCGAAGTACTCAATGACAGGAACCTTGGTGCTGTCGCCACCGTAGACATCACGCAGGAGGCCAGCGATGTGTCCCTGGTGAATACCGTCAAGAATGTCCTTGACAGGCTCATTAATGATGTTGGAGAAGCGGGCAGCCATGGGACCCTGAAGAATACAGGTTCGGCCGACGTCTTGATCGACAATAGCCTCAAGATCCTCACTCTGCCACAGAGAATCCTTCTTGAAGAAGAACTCAAAGTTCTCATCCAGCACGGGGACGAAAGGCACGGGCTTCTGGCCGCGTTTCTGGCAAAGCAGCAGGAAGTGCTGCACATCCTGCGCGTTGATCAGCTGATCGGCAGCTTCGGGATAAGCAGACAAAATGTTGTCCACGGTAGGGTAGGGGGTATCGATATCGGAATAATTTTGGAGCAACGATGCCTGGCCCTCAGCTGTAGTGAAACGCTCCTCGACACGACGGATGAAGTCACCCGTCAAGCGCTTGAGCGAGGGATCGATCCATCGCGACTCGTGCTTGATGTACATGAGGTCCACCATGCGGCGAACGACCTCAGCATAAGTCATATCTTCCAGATCCACAGTCTCGCCTGCAGCGTTGCGACCGAACCAGACCTTGTGGAAGTCATCATTCAACTTCTTGATGATGTAGTTCCGTTGCTTCTTCAGCTCAGGGACACGCTTGGCCTTGTCCAGCTTGAAAATCTTTTGGTCCATCTCCTGCCAGAACAGCACACCGCGAGTGGCTAGCTTGTGGATAGGCTCACCCATCTCAGACAGAACGGTGATCACGCCACCTGTAGCTTTCTGGTAGGTCTTCTCCCACTCCGCATCGTCCACACCAGGAGCATCAGCAATTGCCTTCTTGGCATTGTAAGAGGTGTGTGCCTCCTTCGCGATCATCATGCGAGAGCCGAAGAGACTGCCGTCGAAGGGCATAGGAGGGTAGCCAAACTTGGCGGACCAGGTACCCGAGAGGTAAGGGTAA